CATCCATAGTTGTCATCCAAGTAGATATGTTTAACAGCTTGTCACTAACAGTGTTGTTGATTTGGATTTGAGATGACAAAAGTTGTGTCAACTGGATGCTGCCCAATGGCACTTCTGTGATGATAGGTTGAGTTTATGAAATATTGTTATTACTGGTCAAATTATTGACTCTTAGTGGATGACATATGTATGTGAAAGAACAGCCTGCAAATCCATAATGTTTTAATTTAAGCAGCAAGATATAGTGGTCAACTGTATTTAAAGTTTTTTCTAAGATAAATAAACAGGTCCATTAGATATTCATTATTTTCTAGACAAGGACTGAGTCAAGCATTTTTTTTTTGTCACACGATTCCTACTTTTCCTGGCCTGAAACCAAACTAGTAAGGGTTAGGTTATGAATGCATACATTTGTTTAACCACACTTAGGTACTGGAGGTAGGAAGTATAGCACCTGCTCTCTAAAGGAGGGGTGGGGATATTTGCTGTTTGGAGAGTTATCTGAACTGTTGCATCTGCATCCCTCTGGCAAGACAGTGTTAAGTGTGAATTATGGCAAAATGATGGCCATCTCCCACCTATTTCGGTGGGAGACAGCCAGTGTTAAAAAAAAAAAAAAAAAAAAAAAAAAAAAAAAAAGGATATTGGTGTGATTGATGATTTACTGGATCTTCATTTCTGTGGAAAGGCATAACTCTTGCCAGCTTTAAGTATGTTTGGGAAAGTTGTGGATTTATAAATTTGTTGAGCAATGCTGATTTGGTAGGTGACAGCACATGAACAGATTTCTTATTCATATACACCTACCATCCGACTTACGACCGAGTTCGGTTCCAAGAAACCGGTCGTAAGTCGAAATGGTCGTAAGTCGAATTTTACTACTGAATATCAACAAAACATTTTTGTAATGACTTTATTTTATTGTTTTATTTTGGTATTTCATGTTTTACTTTACTTTTTATGCTGTTAGTACTGTATTTTATACTGTAAGGATTAGGATAAACATTGTATACAACACAAATAGTTGTTTATTTCCCAGAAATTTGGCATAAAAAACACGGTCGTAAGTCGAGTGGTCATAAGTCGAGCAGGTCGTAAGTCGGATGGTAGGTGTAATTGGCACCACAGTATAGTGGTACCTCAGGATACGAACAGCTCAAAACTCAAACAGTTATGCAAGTGTATTTATGTAAGTGCTTTTGTAAGTGTATTTTTGGAGGTCTGAAACGGATTAATCTAATTTACATTATTCCTTATGGGAACAAATTTGCTCGGTATTGGCACTCAAACAGCCTTCTGGGAATGAATTAAGTTCATATCCCGAGGTACCACTGTATATTGGCTTTGCTTCCTGCATTTTCAGCTAATTTATTATTGAAGTTACCTTTGTAGAATTAGGTGGGTAATTATCAGAGATGTAATCTCTGGTGCGTGGGAGTCTGGGATTTTGCTGGCTAAGTTTGATAAGACTGTCAAGAAGTTAATTAGTTTATTTACTGCTTCAGTGATTGAAGCAGCAGATTAATTTGATTTAGTCAGTATAATTTCTTTGATTAAAGGTAGTAGGTTGGTAAACAGCAACCACCCAGGGAGGTACTACCGTCCTGCCAAGCGAGTGTAAAACGGAAACCTGTAATTGTTTTACATGATGGTAGGATTGCTGGTGTCTTTTTTCTGTCTCATAAACATGCAAGATTTCAGGTATGTCTTGCTACTTCTACTTACACTTAGGTCACACTACATATACATGTACAAGCAAATATATACACACCCATCTGGGTTTTCTTTTATCTTCTTTCTAGGTCTTGTTCATGTTTATTTCCTCTTATCTCCAGGGGAAAGTGGAACAGAATTCTTCCTCCGTAAACCATGCATGTTGTAAGAGGCGACTAAAATGCCGGGAACAAGGGGCTAGTAACCCCTTCTCCTGTATATATATTACTAAATGTAAAAGGAGAAACTTTCGTTTTTCCTTTTGGGCCACCCTGCCTTGGTGGGATACGGCCAGTGTGTTGAAAGAAAGAATTTCTTTGAGCTTAGCAAATTTACTTGAAGCAGTATATGAATATTATCCAGGTCTTTTGTATCACCATTTGTTTCATTAAACCTGTTAGCATAACAGCTTTTGGGATTAAGTACTTTATTAGCTAGGCGATATGATTGACCATACTACAGAGAAGGAAAATCATGCATAAATTCTTTGTCTTTAATAATCTAAACACTTGCTACTAATGCTATAGAAAAAGCAGAGTACATATCCATATGATGACCTTTATTTGCTGATTTCTAAAACAAAATGAATTAAACATGAATATAGTTTCTTTATTAGATGAATTAAAACATCCTCTGATTTTCAGTTTGTTTACACAATTTTCTCAACCCACACTGCAAGTTTCATACTCAAAATTACACAACACTGCACACTGTTGGGAAGAAATGTGGGGGGCTATATTTTTTTATACAGTAGACCCTCATATTACACGGATTTATTTGGCATGTTTTGGTTATTACACTACTGAAAAACTGTGGCATAATTTTATACAACAGTTTGTAAAATTAACTTAACACTGTTTGGTTTGCGGGAGGGAAAAAAATTTGGAGCGTCGCCCACATGATATGTCCCTAGCTCAGGCTGCCGCCTGGCTGAGAGTGAGACCACTGTTTCTGGGTGAGGCCACTGTCTCCAGAGGGCTGCACCAGGCTTCAAGGCAGCAAAGGATCACTTTACCTTACTCCTTTGCGGTAATGTGTCAGGTGATTTCGAGTGTAAGTCCATGGTTATTTACCGCTCTAAGAATCCTCGTGCTTAGAAAGGTATAGATAAAAGCACCTTACCAGTAATTTGGAGGTCAAACCAGTCAGCATGGATGACAGAGGAAATATTAGCTGGTTTAAGCATCACTATTCCTGAAGTCAAGTTTTACCTGCACAGCAAGAACTTTGCATTCAAGGCTCTCTTTATTCTTGATAATTCTCATACTCATCCAGAAGCTTTGCTGGATGTGACCCCACATGTAAAAGTTGTATTTTTACCTCCAAATACTACATCTTTAATACAACCACTGGATGGGGGAGTTATTATGTCATTCAAGAGTAACTACACAAGAAAAGTGATGAAAAAATTAGCTGCATCAGTGGACTCTGACCGGGCAGTACCAAGCTTCTGGGATAATGTATAATGTACTGCAGGGTAAAAGAAGCCAGAGTCCATTACAGAACTTATGCACACTCCAATGCAACCATTGACTTTAGTACCAGAACCTCAACCATCCACTTCTGCTGACAACCAACAACCATCCCCCTCAGGCCAGTAGAGCCACACCATGCATCTTCACTCTCTTCACAATCACTGACATACATCAGCAACCACAATTTAGGGTAAATAATATTATTTCTGTTGCATTTGTAGTCTTAAGCAACTAAAACATCATTTTTATTTTTGTAAGATCTGGATGTCGTAAAAAGAAAGTGGTTTGGCTTTTGGGGGGGAAGCCCAGCAACATAACCCTATTTTTCCCACAAGTTCTTCAGTTTATATAACAGATTTATCTAACACAGCATTTTCAGTGTTGCAACCCCTGAATGGGTTGCAATGATTATTATGTATATATATAATTATTACCTTTTCATATAATTTTATATTGCTTATATTTGCGATAATAGCTAAATCGTAAATGTATTGCTTTATATTGTTATTTGACTTAGTTATGTTGTTAGGTAGGATGTAACATATGTGCTCACTTCAAGTCTTGATTGTCTAACTACTGTAATTATCGCTCCTTGCTCGTTACTCTGCCGGCTTCTGTTTGTGCTCCAGCTGTCCACGGAGCTATCACGTGATCGAGGGGGGGGTGTCCTCACCTCGCCTGAAGTATTCAGTCTGCTCTAGACTCGCTGGGTGGTTGGACGTATTCCAAAGTGCCTAAATCTCCCTTATAGGCCCTTGTTGGAAGACCGTCTCTTGTCTTATTATTGTTAGTTCTGCGAGACTCTGTTCACAGAACACTGTATAGACTTAGTGATTTTCAACGTTGTACTGAGGTTGTGTGTCTCATAGACACTCTGAGTAACTCATGTCCTGAGCTGTAGCTTCTGACCTAACTTGTACTGGTATCTGTGTATTATCACAGTTAGGCATTTTCTTATGCTGAACTTAGCTTCAGTAGTATGGGAGTTTTGTGACTTTTGTGGAGGATCTGCTGATGGTCCCTACTTAGTGTCGTTATATTATCTCCTTGTTCCTGATTCTGTGTCGCAGTTGCTTGTTATATTGCTATTGGGCTTAGCATTCTTTTTGTTGTTCAAGCAGACTGTTCTGATTGCCAGTTGGTCAAGAAGTTAGTTTATTTGAGGACTATGTCAGTCACTTGTTTAAGTCTAGTCGAGTCGTGAGACATAGCGAACTACTTAGAGCACTTACACACATACTTACGAACTTACTTGTACATACTTGTAATGTATTATTAAATGTTAATGTACCAGATGGTACTTAAGAATTATAAATGTGATATGTGCTTTCAGCACTATAATACTGTAAACGAGAGAAGTGATTATTATTTTGATTACTGTGATTTATTTAATTTAATTTGATATACGCCTAGACAACTTAATAAATGTATTAAATTTTATTTTCTCTAGTTAGCAGCCTACCAGACGTAATCCTGAAGCACTATTGAATCATACTGAATTCTAATGGATAATTGGACAAGGATACTGACTACTTGTTACGAAAACCCAGTAACAGGCTGGAAGCTAGAAGGGCAGTCCTTTCTAGTATTCACTGGAGATCTCTAAGCTTTTAGAATCGCGTTTTTTGTAACATTCAGGAACGTAACTACCATGTAATATGAGGGTCTACTGTACTTGTCAAACTTTTGAAAAAGCTGAATCCTCAAATTCACTGAGAGAACTGCTAAACCATAAAAGCTTCTTTGTTGCTGCTAGATGCATACTGTATTTATCTGCTAGCAATTTTTTTTGTCACCCTCTACTCTAGTGAGAAAGTGTTAAAAACTTTATTACTATCATTCTCACTGTACCATGGCTTCCTATTTTTTTTTTTTTCAACATGCTGGCCATCTCCCATCAAAGCAGGGTGACCCAAAATAAGAAACACTTTCAACATTATTCGCACATAATCACCGTCTTTGTAGAGGCACCTAGATACGACAGTTTAGATGTCACTCCAAAGAGCCAATATTCCAAACCCCTCCTTTAAAGTGCAGTGTTGTACTTCCCACCTCCAGGACTCAAGTCTGGCTAACCAGTTTCTCTGAATCCCTTCACAAAATATTACCCTGCTCACACTCCAAAAGCTCATCAGTTATTAATATAATTATTATTTTACTATATTATTAAAGTGCTGATAAATATTATGACTGTCTCCACTGCCACTTATGTTTATTATGCAAATATAAATCAAGATTAATATCTCCTTATATATATATATTTAAACAATAATTTATATACAAATATTTATTAATAAAGTTTTATAAATATTATTATTTAGGTATACTATCTAGATCTGTTCATACATTATTGCTTTATTTTTTTCCCTTTTGTATGTCACCTCTTTAAGTTATGATGTGCTGCCACAGCACTTTATTTACAAAACATTTCTGTATATTATGTGTAATACTCTGCATCTAAAATTTAAATCAATGCCAAAATATTGAATATACTGGTTTGCCTACCAAAAATATATTGAAAGCTCCACTTATTAAAAAATAGGCACCTTTACAGTAGGTGTAAACTAGTGGAAAATGGTAGCAAGGATGTCGAGAGGTAGCAATGTGGAAGGAGATAAGCCAGACAGTGAGTGTGAACTATGAGGAAACATGGCAGTACTGAGGGTGTCGAACCAGGTAAGAACCAGAAATAATGGATTTAAGTTGGATAAATTTAGATTTAGAAAGGACATAGGTAAGTACTGGTTTTCTAACAGAGTTGTAGATGCATGGAACAGTCTTCCCAGTGGGGTGATAGAGACTAGGACCTTGGGTAGATTTCAGAAGAGACTGGACAAATATATGAGTGGGAGGGGCTGGGTTTGATTGGTGTCATTGGGTACGGGAGTTATTTCTTGGGTAGCTTAAGGTAGAGGTCGTTTTGATAAGGACCTGCCTCGCATGGGCCAGTAGGCCTTCTGTAGTGTTCCTCCATTCTTATGTTCTTATGGCAGATGATCATGCACAGTAGTGGCACAGTATTCATATCAAACAAAAATGTAGTCAATTAGGCTTATGAGAGTCCTGTGATGAAGTTCTGAAATACTGTAAGCAGCAGTGTTCATAGCACTCGCCTATTTCAATTATTGCATTTCAGTACGTCAAATTTAAATTCAGATATGTATTTAAACTCTCCATGGGGAAGTGGAAAAGAATTCTTCCTATGTAAGCCATACGTGTTGTAAGAGGCGATTAAAATGCCGGGAGAAAGGGGTTAGTAACCCCTTCTCCTACATAAATTACTAAATTTAAGAACAACTTTTGTTTTTCTTGTGGGATACGGCTGGTTTGTTAAAAAAAACAAGTATTTAAACATTTTCCTCAGGAAACAATGTTCATCAAAAAAGAAAATTTTGCCCTGATAGGGGTACAGTAGTTTACAGTGACATTATTAATCTTCATGAAGGCTAGATTTCTTCATGCAATGACGTCTTTACTTTAAAAAATAAGTGTACTCATTGAAGTTTTCATTACTAAGTGACATCTGAGCCGAGACCCTGCCAGAACTGATTATTTCATTATTTCATTGTAGAAGACCAATATATACATAGAATTTTTTTTCAAGTTGACTTACCATAAAATGTTGCATATTCTAACATGCATTGATATTTTTGGATTAGTGTATGGTATTTGTGACTATCTGCTGGTCCAGGAGAAGATTAAAAGGGTTGGGTGATGATCTACAAAGATCTTTTAAATAAATATATTAAAAATAAAAAATAATCCCTATATATGATACTGACCAAAGACTTGCTATGGAATGTATTCCATTCTGGACTCCATCAGCCCAATCAATTTTAACCTTTATTATCTTTGGTTTAGTTATCACCACTTTTGTAACAACACTACTTCATGAAGTATTTAACAAGGCATCATTATTATTATTTTATTATCAGTTAAGATCTTCAAAGGAATGCACTAATTTTGAAACAGCACTAGACAGGGTACTAACTGAACGTAATTTAAAAAACTGACAGCACCTAACCTACTACTGTAACTGCGAATGTAACTTTTTGAGAAATGTCTTGTCTTGCATAGCACATGTTAAATTTCTGAACTATGCCACCACCTTCATCAGTTAACTGCTTGTTTCATAAACTTTTAACTGGTATTCCCAACCATAAAAGGTACCAGATAGCTGAAGTGTTACTGGAACACCAATAACAAACACTTCACTTCATCTAATGCTTGCCATTGGTGCTCATTCAAGTGCATAAGTAAAAACATTTAAACATACCATAAAGTGTGAGCAACTGAGAAGTTAAGAAAAACTTTTAACAATAAATAACAAAAAACTTTCTCACAGAACAAGACTATATTAATGTTTATATATGAGACCAACAACAGATATTTCTAGTTGATGCTACCAAAATAATATAATAGTTTTCCCCATTTTCTCTGCTAAATAATCTTTCACAGTTAGTCAATGATAAAAAAAAATTTCTTCAAGATTTCATAATTATAAGCAGCTCATTTTGGAGACAATTTAAGAAAGTTTGCAAACCCTTAATGAGACCTACTTTCCACAATTTAAATGCATTGTGATTTCAAATTAATTAATACTATGTTCACAGCAAACCAAGATGTTATGCAATAAATACAAAAACTTAATGACTCAAAGTATCTTTAAATTCAATTGTTAACTCTTATTTCATGTCCAGTTATTGATTCAAACTATTTACCCTCAAAGCATAAAAACCCGAGAGACAAAAAAAAAAAAAAAGTTCCCCTCGCACACATTTTTCTTTAATTCAACAAATGTCAAATTTTTATAAATACCTTATATACTGCACGGAGAGGTAAGCTTTAACGATGTTTAGTAAATGACTACAAGTCAAATGGATAATTATGCACGTTATCTATGAACAACAACACTAACTGTCCATAAGCTGATATATATTGTACAGTACAAAATATAACATTAAAAATCTATTTAGACTAATTCCAAAGCTGAATCTCCTCCTTAATATACACGTTCTTGATAAGATGACACATTGTCTGGTTGTCGTGGCTGAATCACAGGTCTATTTGAAGCTCCTGGTCTTCTTGCTGGTGCTAAATACTCAAACATACTCTGCAAGAAAGAAAAAATTAATAGCAACAAATATCTAGATGTGGTTTGACTGCATTAAGCCTAATGAGGAAGGTATATTACCCCAGTCTCCCATCTCAGTAAAATGCCCATACAATTTTTATTATAAAAAATTGGTAGCAACTTTAATAAGGCTAAGATATATTGGATTTAAGAATAAATTAGAAAGTGAACATTACAATTACCCCCAACAATTATACTCAAAACTAAAGAATCCTGTCCTGTGTATTCTCCCTGGTTATTCAACTACATTGTTAATAGTGCTTTATATAACAACCTTTGCACTTATACTAAGCACTCCAATATTAAAATATGTAGCTAATTTTGTCGTATTTTTTAACACACAGGCCATCTCCCCACCAAGACAGAGTAACTAAGCAAAGGAAATACCCTCACCATCATTCATTCAATATCCCCACCTCTCCTTCACTGTGCAGGCACTGTACTTCCCACCTCCAAGACCTAAGTCTGGCTAATTAATTTCCCTGAATCCCAGACTGAGTCCTTGAGGCAGGAGGTATATCGCCTGCACACTGAGGAAGATGAGCTGTTGCAGTTCATATGTTTATTTTTCATACTTATATTTCTAAAAGTAGGTCTTAGACAGGGATGTGTAATGTCACCATGGTTGTTTAATATATTTATAGATGGGGTTGTAAAATAAGTAAATGCTAGGGTGTTCGGGAGAGGGGTGGGATTAAATTATGGGGAATCAAATTCAAAATGGGAATTGACACAGTTACTTTTTGCTGATGATACTGTGCTTATGGGAGATTCTAAAGAAAAATTGCAAAGGTTAGTGGATGAGTTTGAGAATGTGTGTAAAGGTAGAAAGTTGAAAGTGAACATAGAAAAGAGTAAGGTGATGAGGGTATCAAATGATTTAGATAAAGAAAAATTGGATATCAAATTGGGGAGGAGGAGTATGGAAGAAGTGAATGTTTTCAGATACTTGGGAGTTGACGTGTCGGCGGATGGATTTATGAAGGATGAGGTTAATCATAGAATTGATGAGGGAAAAAAGGTGAGTGGTGCGTTGAGGTATATGTGGAGTCAAAAAACGCTTTCTATGGAGGCAAAAAAGGGAATGTATGTAAGTACGTATAGTGGTACCAACACTCTTATATGGATGTGAAGCTTGGGTGGTAAATGCAGCAGCGAGGAGATGGTTGGAGGCAGTGGAGATGTCCTGTCTAAGGGCAATGTGTGGTGTAAATATTATGCAGAAAATTCGGAGTGTGGAAATTAGGAGAAGGTGTGGAGTTAATAAAAGCATTAGTCAGAGGGCAGAAGAGGGTTTGTTGAGGTGGTTTGGTCATTTAGAGAGAATGGATCAAAGTAGAATGACATGGAAAGCATATAAATCTATAGGGGAAGGAAGGAGGGGTTGGAGAGAGGGGGTAAAGGAGGTTTTGTGGGAGAGGGGATTGGACTTCCAGCAAGCGTGCGTGAGCATGTTAGATAGGAGTGAATGGAGACGAATGATACTTGGGACCTGACGATCTGTTGGAGTGTGAGCAGGGTAATATTTAGTGAAGGGATTCAGGGAAACCGGTTATTTTCATATAGTCGGACTTGAGTCCTGGAAATGGGAAGTACAATGCCTGCACTTTAAAGGAGGGGTTTGGGATATTGGCAGTTTGAAGGGATATGTTGTGTATCTTTATACGTACATGCTTCTAAATTGTTGTATTCTGAGCACCTCTGCAAAAACAGTGATAATGTGTGAGTGTGGTGAAAGTGTTGAATGATGATGAAAGCATTTTCTTTTTGGGGATTTTCTTTCTTTTTTGGGTCACCCTGCCTCGGTGGGAGACGGCCGACTCGTTGGAAAAAAAAAAAAAAAAAAAAAAATCTAGAAAGAGCAATACAGACCCAGTGAGAAACAAAAGCATGCAGTCCTAAATAACTGGTTGAATACTAAAATCTTTGAAATACACACGTATAACTGGTTGAATACTAAAATCTCTGAAATACACACGTAAAAAAACTGGAAGCCAAGATAGCGCTTTATGCCAGAAATTATGGTTAACCTAATTCAAGTGTATACACTGTACTAAAGCTTTTTCTTTTTTATTACACAGGCCTTCTTCCACTGAGGTAAGGTGACCTTGAAAAAGAAAGCTCATTTGCTAAATTATCACATAAAATTTCAAGAATATAATGAATGCACAATACCTGAGTGTGTTGCGACAGCATCTTGGATAAATCGCCTGGCATTGGGTCTGTCCAGAAGAAATCATGATCCAAGGCAGAGGAAGAATCTGTTCTCTTACTAGGATCTAAGGTGAGAAGTTTATCTAACAAATCTAATGCCTGTGAAAGATATTACGGATTTCCACTGTAGAAAATTAAAGCGTTATTACATCAATTTATCATTATCTCTTAACATATAGAGTAGAACCCCATACCTGAGGATTCTGTTTCCATGGTTTCAGTTATCTGCTGTTTAACATGGCTCAAAAATAACCCTTAATTCTGGCCCTAAAGCACAAAAGCAGTAATGGTGGCAGTTCTTCAAAACCTAAGAGAAGCCGTGAAATGCTTCCCATCATTGAAAAAGTGATAATTTTTGACTTCCTGTGCATAATTTATGAATTTAACTTATTAGAGGCATGTATGTAAACAAAAAACAGCTTATATATAGGGTTCACTAGTATCCACATTTTTGAGTATCCTCTGTAGGTCTTGGAATATATCCCCCATGGATACGAAGAGACTACTGTACCTATAATTTTTTAAGCAATTTAGGTAATAACCAAAATTTCATGATCCACCATCCCTCAATATGTAATGCAAATGAATCTTTTCTTAATGTAATAAAAACAGAAGCGATATCCGTCAATGAAAACTATCTGACTTACGACCTGCTCGACATACATCCACTCGACTTACGACCATGCATCTGGCAGCTGGGCTGGGTCGGCTGATGCATACCGCTGTACAATATTTGACGATACCCGCGGCGGCAATGTGCCATGCAGGCAGCATCAGTTTGAGTTACCCTGCCCTATCAGCAGCATCATACTGCATTAACTGGACAGTAAATTTCACCATGGCCATTAAGAGGAAGTCTGAATCTTGCACTGGAAATTGTGGCAAGAAGGCAAGAGAGGCTCTTACTCTCAAACTCTCTCTATTTGTTTTCACTGTTGCACGTAAACCTATCTGTATCTGTCTGTCTGTTTGTATATGTATCTGTCTGTCTGTATCTGTCTGTCTGTATGTCTGTCTATCTGTCTGTCTGCTTATCTGTCTTTATGTCTTCCTGTGTGTCTGTCTTTCTGTCTGCTTGTCTCTCTGTCTCAGAGCCGCTTATGAACCAACAGGTATTACACACGAAGCAGAGTCATCACATCTTCAACATGACGCTAATATTGCTCTACGGCTTATTTATCTATCACAATTCATCTAATATGACATAATAAACACTATGACATAAAAACCTGATATACACTCTAGAATGAATAAAATATGAACTTAACTGCTTTAAACTCCACATCTTGTGCCTGTGCTGGCATGCAGGTGCACATTAAAATCATTAAGAGTGTGTTATTGGTCTTGAAGACACCATATTAATAATGATAATAATAACAATAATAATCACTCTGAGGCCAATTAAATATGAATAAAATGTTAATATAGACATTTTGCTTAATCCATCTATTTTTGAGTATCCACTGTAGGTCTTGGAATATATCCTCCATGGATACAAAGAGACTACTGTACCTATAATTTTTTAAGCAATTTAGGTAATAACCAAAATTTCATGATCCACCATCCCTCAATAAGCAATGCAAATTAATCTTTTCTTAATGTAATAAAAACAGAAGTGATATCTGTCAATGAAAACTATCCGACTTACGGCCTGCTCGACATACGTCCACTCGACTTACGACCATGCAGCTGGGCTGGGTCGGCTGATGCATACCGCTGTACAATATTTGACGATACTCGCGGCGGCAATGTGCCATGCAGGCAGCATCAGTTTGAGTTACCCTGCCCTATCAGCAGCATCATACTGCATTAACTGGACAGTAAATTTCACCATGGCCCCTATGAGGAAGTCTGAATCTTGCACTGGAAATTGTGGCAAGGCAGGAGAGGCTCTTACTCTCAAACTCTCTCTATTTGTTTTCCATTGGCATCGAGGGCTCAACATCGCCGACACGGCAGGTTGTGTAGCAGGCTAGCTGCGGGATTTTCAAGGATAGCTCCTGGTCAAAGAGGCTGACCAGGTCCCTACTTAACAGAACTCAGTGTGAATGCTTTGAGAAGATACCAGAGCAGCGAACGGACATCCCAGTGCATCGTTTCAGCGTAAACAGTTGAAGTGTTGTGCAGTTTCAGAGGATTTGGTGTTGTCGAGTCAGGATCAGTCAGCGCCTCCCCCCCTCTCCGCTGGGGGGGGGAGGGGGAGGGCGTGTGTAGTAAACAGTGACCCTCTCATAACGCCTCACCCCTGCGCGTCTCCCCCGCCTCACCCACCCAACTCCCAGCGCCACCACATCTGTAGAGGGTACTTCTCCCCTAACCCACGATGTCAGCGATGGCACTGCAGGGAGTGCCGGGCTCACAGGAACTTCCACTACAGGGACAGCATCGTGGAGTTCGACCGCAAGGCAGCTGTCAGGTGTGCCACAGGCAGTGTGTACTCAGTTCCTCAAGCTTCAACATCCGTGCACACGAGGGCCTGGGATCTTCAATCAACTTGGCGTCCACCAGGATGCTGACATGTCCCTAGGGGAGCTCTCCATCGGGCTGCTAACGGAGTCACTGGCTTCTTGGACCTCTTGGGGAGGGTTGATGGTGCTCGTGCAAGCAGCAGATCCCGGGGCAACTTGCTGCTGTTTGCAATGGCTGTCTACCGAGGAGAGACAGGCACCTAGCAACATTTGTTGTTGGGGCAATGGATGAATTCCCTGCTATGTTTGTTAACTGCTCATTACTCTGTAATTTGTCTATGATTGTAATCATGTGATAACGTGTTTATCATTCATTACCTTTGAAACTTGTCATGATTTTGACCAGCTCTACCTGGAGCTCATTACCTTTGTAAATTCTCATGATTAATGTGTTTATGATTCATTACCTTTGCAATTATTCATGAGTGTGACCAGCTCTACCTGGAGCTCATTACCTTTGTAACTTGTCATGATTATGACCAGATCTAGTTCATTACCTTTGTAACTTGCTCAGCTATCAAAACTTTGGAGTCCAGTCCCTGGACCAATTATATACCTCTGTAATCTTTTGACTACCGCCCACAGGATGGGTATGGGGTGCATAATAAACATATTAAACTTAAACTATTTGTTTTCACTGTTGCACGTAAACCTATCTGTATCTGTCTGTCTGTTTGTATCTGTGTCTGTATCTGTCTGTCTGTATGTCTGTCTATCTGTCTGTCTGCTTATCTGTCTTTATGTCTTCCTGTGTGTCTGTCTTTCTGTCTGCTTGTCTCTCTGTCTCAGAGCTGCTTATGAACCAACAGGTATTACACACGAAGCAGAGTCATCACATCTTCAACATGACGCTAATATTGCTCTACGGCTTATTTATCTATCACAATTCATCTAATATGACATAATAAACAATATGACATAAAAACCTGATATACACTCTAGAATGAATAAAATATGAACTTAACTGCTTTAAACTCCACATCTTGTGCCTGTGCTGGCATGCAGGTGCACATTAAAATCATTAAGAATGTGTTATTGGTCTTGAAGACACCATATTAATAATGATAATAACAATAATAATCACTCTGAGGCCCATTAAATATGTATAAAATGTTAATATAGACATTTTGCTTAATCCATCTATTTTTTTTTCAAAATTATATAATAAGCATGCTACGTAGCACATAAACATATAAATTAACAAATATGAGATTTTTTTCAGTTGGCTTGACAGAGTGAACAAAAACTATCTGTGTCCGGACTGGTAACAACAAAAACAACAACTAGTTTGTTTACAAAACTTGCAAACATTCTACACTCTCATTCTCTCTCTCATTTATTCATTTAATCTTGTTTACTCACCTCTCACTCTACATTAAGATTGCAGATATTTTAAGGTAAGTAATGAGTAAACACTATATTATATTATATTTTAATAATAATATTATTATTATTAATACATACGTATTGTAATAATAATAATAATAATAATAATAATAATAATAATAATAATAATAATAATTATTATTATTATTATTAATTTAGGGAACTGAAGCACAGATCCACTATATAGCACTTCGTCTGGATTTTTTGGGTTATCCTAGGTAATTTACACTATGTATGATAACTTTACTTATGAGTACCTGTGAGAGAAAGACAAAGACAGAGACAGATACAGATGGAGAAAGAGCCAAATTCAGTCAGCCAGACAGCCAACCAACCACCCACCCACCCGGCCGGCCTGCTCGCCAGCTGAATATGTATTACACATGTTTCAGAATCGTTTCTCTTTACTTAGGGCATAGGTTATAGGACATTCTGGCAGGATGACACTACGGTGGTATTCTCCCATTCCACTGTGTTGATAATACTTAAAGAAAACAGTAACATACGATACTGTATCAGATGTAAAATTTACAATACAGTTCACTACCATATACAGTGGACCCCCACATAACGCTGGCATCGCATAGTGTTAAATCCGCATAGCGATACATTTTATCGCTAAAATTTTGCCTCGCATAGTGCTAAAAAATTCGCTCAACGCGATTCGTCCGAGACAAGTCCATGCGGCCTGAGCCAGCCTCACTTGTTCTGCCATTGGCATTGTTTACAAGCCAGCCTCCGCGGTAACATTCAAGCATACAATCGGAACATTTCGTATTATTACAGCCTTTTTATAGTGATTTCGCCTGAAAAATAAGTGACCATGGGCCCCAAGAAAGCTTCTAGTGCCAACCCTACAGGAATAAGGGTGAGAATTACTATGGAGATGAAGAAAGAGATCATTGCTAAGTATGAGAGCGGAGTGCGTGTCTCCGAGCTGGCCAGGTTGTATAGTAAACCCCAATCAACCATCGTTTCTATTGTGTCTTATTGGTGTGGATAAACGAAAAACAGATAGCAGGTGATAGCATCTCTCAAGCGATCATAAGTGAAAAGGCTAGGAAGTTGCACGAGGATTTAATTAGAAAAATGCCTGCAACTAGTGGTGATGCGAGTGAATTTAAGGCCAGCAAAGGTTGGTTTGAGAGATTTAAGAGGCGTAGTGGCATACATAGTGTGATAAGGCATGGTGAGGCTGCCAGTTTGGACCAAAAAGCAGCTGAAAAATATGTGCATGAATTCTAG